GACAACCCCATAACAATATGCGTTTTGTACTGCTGTTACACAGCACAGAACGCATAAAAATGTAGGGTCTAAATTTACCTAGTTCAGGACATGTGTCAAACTCGGGTACAAGTTTTTGCATATGCTAACAAACGATAAACTAACCAGCATGACAGCTTTAGTGTCCAAAACTACACCGTAAAGCCTCACTACACATTCATGCCGCATTTTATGCATAATAGCTGCTTCTTGCAAAAAATTCAATGGGCTTGCAAACAGCTTTTCAGGTAAGATACACTTGACGGCGACCTGTAACTAAAAACATTAACAACTGTCCCTCATCTAGAGTTGCCCCGCGCATTTCTGCTCTCTTCGAGGCAAAATTAATTTTTAATACTAGAAAGATGAATTCACAAGCATTCAAATTACCTAAACATAAAATATGGAGACTGTAAAGGAAATATGCTAACCGGCTGAATGTGATCCTAAAGCTTATTGATTATATATACAAACGCACAAGCATACTAGTGATCAATCACTTATCCATTCACCCAAACATACGTAATCCGTCTTTCTGTACAGACCAAAATTGTCAATACCGCTCGGCCAATCTGGATGGGGATTCGACGTCAGTAATTTTATTAAAATGCTATAGCAGGACAGGTGCGGCATGGCAGGCTCTTCGGCTCGGGGCCGCATATTTCAGTTGGTACCTATCTCCTACGCCTCTAGGCGGTCGTTTACTTTTCTGCAGAAAATATGCATTAAAATATGACATTCACTGGCTGTCAGCAAGGAAAGTAAATATTCTCAGGCTTTACTTTCTCGCGTTGACGCAATGACAATCTGAACGCCACTCAATTGATGGAGAATCTGATTACTTATGCAATCCAAAACAAAAACGCATTGCTTTTTCTATCACAGTTAGCGTCCACTCTTTTGCTGCTGGGTGACAAAGTTTCCCACCGATACGTCACTGCCTTCAGCACAGTGGTAATGAGGAGATGGGTACTGCCGTTTCTGTTCCAGACTTTGAGGACATCGACGATAATGCAAAACTACATCAGCCAGCACGCCTTTTCACTGTTATCTCCGGTTGAAGAATGTAGCGTATATTTACTTCCTGACCAAGACAGATGCAATCCAGTCAATACCGCTTAGTTACAATTTAGCCACAGGCACCCCAGTACGACACACAACCTTCATTTTAAATGCACTGATTTGCAGGCCCATTTCTTTACCCCTTGTGCTAAGTAGGCTGCAATACTTGAACCAATTTCGCAAACGTGACGCGTGTTTTCGGTGTATATATGCATATATATATGTATATATATACATATATATACATATATGTACATACATATATATATGCATATGTATGCATATATATGTATATATACATTACATATATATATACACATGTATGTATATATATATGTATATACATAATTTGTTGGCTATATATATATATACGTATATATATATATATATATATATATATATATGTAGCCAACAAATTATGGATACAGCGAGTAATGGATATAACGAGTAATGCTGTAGTTTGAATTTGCAATTAGTTTTATTTTACCTTCTCTCCAAACTCTTTAAGATTTCGCATTTCTACTACTTAATTTCTTCCAATTAACACCTTTAACATTCTTATCATCTAAATCCGTTTTACTCTTAATTATATTGTTATCACAGCCGTCGTACTGACGCGGTTCAACTGTGGTATCAGTAAGAAATGTATACGAATTAATGGACCGAAACATTTCTTACCTAATTTAATGCTTCTTTTTCACATCCTTCCTTTTCTTTTATCCTTTCTTATATTTTTCAACAGCACTTACACATTTTTCTTTTAACCTTAAATATATTCATTCGTTCACACATTCATTTGTTTCATTGACTGATTGATTGATTGATTCATTCATTCAACTGTATATGATCACAGCACCAGAAAAATAAAACACCTGTATCTGCTCAGTTGTGTTTGAATTATACCACGCAGCTTGATGAACTGATCCAAATTCGCCTTTACCAAGCTGCTTTGATAAAGTGATATTTTCGATGGGTATAACATGCTGCTCCGGTCGTCCACAAATTGTCACCGGTTCAGATCTTTTTAAAGTCGCTAAAAAGTAACGACTGACTATAGCAAAGTCTCCTTACAGAACAGTTAGAAAGAGGTGCTGACAAAATTACCAGAATCTACCGTACAATAGATATGGAGATGAAATGTACACAAACACTACGAACCATAGTAGTCCCTAAATTCTGAGGAACACAATACACTCAAGCCGATCATTGAAGTAACGCATGGACCCCTCAGGGCCTGTGCTAGCAGACTGAGTGACCAACCGAATGACGGAATGAAGGTGACATACCTTTGCCAAGAATCTTTTGCCGCAATTTTCCCATGATGGAAAGCTTGGAGAATCTGCGGCAGTAGACAGCTTTCAGTCGCTTCTGCTCAGGCCTGCTCATGCCAATCCTGTTCAGGTCGTTCTCATCAACATAGCTCATGTCTGCTGCGCATCGCAGCCTCAGCACTGTTCGCATTGAATGCTCGTAGCTAAATGAACGATTTGAGCTAGTGTGATCTGAGACTCAGGCAGCCTCGACAAATACGCAAGCAAAGTCCTCCTTCAGCTCGTCCACTCCTACGCCCAGTGATGAGTTGGGCACCGGCTCGCAAACACAGCGTGGCACTCACCGGATCTGCACTAGCAGCAGAACTGCATCGGATCGATCACAGATTTTTGAAATGCTCCACTACGGAGTAGTGCGAACCAAATTTCTTGCACCTCGTAGCCTAGGGCAGCAGTATGCGGTCTCAAAGCCAGGTGCATCTAGCCAGCAGAAATAAAATTATCTCAGCATAACCCTGGCGGACAAGACCCAAGCTTGCCATCAATCGATAGCGTTCTAGAGCCTATACGATTAGAAAAACAGCTAGTTCCAAGTCAGAAAGTGGGGAACTTCGTAATCAAACCGACGATGGAATGAGGAAAGAGAACGCACCACAGCAAGTCGGCCTCAGCCAATAACTCCGAAATGGAGCACTGTTCTGCCGCCACTGCCATCCAGCCTTTTTATCAGTGCTCAGTCCTCTTCATAGCATCTCGCTATCGTCTTCTTCCGTCCTTCCAGCTGCGACAAACGCTGTAAAACTGCCAAATGCAACTCTGTTTTTTTTACACAAAATTATGCACTGAATGGAAGAACGCGAATCAAATATTTCAATTTATACAACGCACCAACCGCCTTACCACTCTTAGATTTTACCAGAAATTTTGAATTCGGAGCAGTGACGAAGAAGCCACACTTACTGCTCAGAATGACCGTTGGTTGCTGACATTCACTCAACTCCGCAAAGCGCAGCAAGGCCCCCTTCCTCCTCTCCGCTTTTTTCAACTAATCCGGTGATATCCAGCCACACCAGCGAAGACACAATGCTGTGAAGCTTTCTGCTTCACCGTTTGTCCGGTATCGGTCGATTCTGATTGCGCATCGCCCTTTCACCTTTGACTCTGGCCATGAGAATCGGCGAGCGAATGGCTTCCTCCTTGCCCTACGATGCGGTGCTCCCTGGAAGTGGAACCTCTCAAAGTGCCAGCGCACCTCGTCCGCTGGGAAATCCCACCCACTAAAAACCGGCCCCTCAGCGTTCGTCACCGATCATCTGTGCCTCACTCCGCTTGCAAAAAAAAAGAGAATCCACAGCTATCTAAGGGACGTACGCTTCTCAGCCAAATTCTTAGGTTGCTCACACGCGTGCCATTACTCACAACGGGGACATAGCTGTGATGGGGACGGTCTTACTCTTTTTGGGCTTCCTCCCAGGCCGAAGTTGTTGCATAGGATGCTTAGGAACTCAGTCAGTGCCGCTAAAAAGAGCAAGCTGAGGAGTGATCTCGACAGGCTGTGTGCAACGTCAACCAAGGCTGGAAGGCACCAGGCGGGCCGGTGCGATTATGCGTTTTTGCACTTCTTGTGCTGTAGCAAGATCGCAAGGAATCAAAGTAGCTAACCTTGTGAAATATTGGCCCTCGAAGTGCGGAAAGTTAATTGTGTGACTATGTGGTATGTCAGTTGTAGGTGTCGACTTCAGTGACCCGACAAATGGGAAGTTGCTGGTCCG